TCTTTAGTTCCCTCCCCACACCTTTTCCCAAATGTCAAAAGGCAACCAGTTAACAATGTGGTAAATTTCCTATTATTCTGTCCCACAGAAAAACAAATAGACATTAGATGTTTCCTCCCATTCCTCTTTTTATTTTACTCAAGGAAATTTTACTATGATTGTATCACACTACATATATCATTTCATACTATTATTTAACAATATATGATGGGAATGTTTTCATGTCTATATTGCATTCCTCCTGTTTAATGGCTGCATTATATATAAATACAAAACATTACTTCATTATCTTATGTTGATGGACATATAGGAATATCCCAGTTTTTGTATCATAAAGGTGCAAAGTAATATATTGTGTACCATGGCTATAATATTTTTGAAAAAATATAATTATCCAAATATATTTAATAATATCTTTCTACACATAAAATTGCTGGATCAAATGGGAAATATATTTCAAGTTTAGAAAATATCAACAACTAGATGTCCAAAATATTTAATAAAAATGCATACTTCCAATGGCAGTACTATTCTCTTTGAAACTACATAGTACCAATTTCTTTAAATGTTGCCACTGTGATAGATGAAGAATGATACAATATCCATATTTTTATTTATTATTTTATTTGTAAAATACAATATATTTTCACATGTTTATTGACCCTTCATATTTATTTTATGTCTGAATTTCCTGTTTACGTTCATCCATAGTTAGCATTGTAAAAGGTTTTTGTATAGCTAAAAAATTGAAAAAATCTGTTCTTCATATCTATGGCAAATATATTTTTGGTTTCATGTTTGAATTTAGATGTTTGCAGAATATGTATATTTCGTTTTTATACAGCCAACTATCTTTTCATGTCAAGTTTTACAGTTTTGTATTCTAAGACTGTAAACATAATCAGTGCATTACTGGAAGAAAGTAACATGTGTAATTGTAAAAATGAAACAAGTCTTTTAAAATGCATGTAAGTCAAGTTCTAAGTTGTTTACCAATCATCTAATGAGTTGATTTCCACATAAGAGAATTAATTTTTGAGATACTTATGTGATAGCTATAAATCTACACTGATAGTTTAACTCACTAATGTACACAAACATTAAAATATGTATTTAAATAAATACATGCAATTCTTTTTGTTGCTTTATTTATTCAGCATGAAATGCGAAAGGAAAAGAAGGGAGAAGTGAAACAAGGTAGTAAAAAAGAGCTGGGGCAGGGAAAGAGAAATTGAGAAATTTTATTACAATAAATATTTTCACTTGAAACTTAGAATCTATTGATTTGGTTTGGAAAACCATATCTATTATTTCAACATTGAGAATTACATAAATTTTTACTGTATTTCTATAACATTTTGTAAAAACTATAACTGCACCATAGACCCTAAGTATAACTTGTGAGCAGGTAGGTCACTCAAAGTTCTTAAACTGTACTGCAGTCACTTCCATTCAGGTTGCCATTCACCTCTTGTTCCTTCTTTCTGGGTCTCTCTCTTCTAGCACATTCATACCATTGATCAAAGAGAGTCAACACAATTAGAAGTGGCTGTAACATTATTTTTAAACTGATTTAGAGTCAACACTTTGATAGGGTATTCTCACAATAAAGAAACACTGAATCTCCTAAATGAAATAAAATATCCTTGGTTTCTTTGCCTATCAATCAGAAATTAGATGATTGTTTAACCATACAATTCTTTTAAATATTAAGCATCTATTTTCAAGAGTAAGAACATTTTCATTAATGTCTTTAGTATTTTAACTAATGGAATCACTGAATAATAACAATGTTCCAATTTGAGAATCCAGTTTCATTATGTTGGACAGTTTAAATAGAATCAGAGATTTGTTTGTCTGTTTTGTATAAAAAGTATTTGAAATCAAATTTTCTAGAATGTTTACAGTATATATTTGAGTATTTGCTAAACGACAATTTTCTTCTTAACTCGGTATAAAACATTTTAAAAATCATATTGAAACTGCTTCCAAGCATTGAACTGATCTGGCTATATTTTGTTTGCTGAAACTATCAAGTTAAAATAATTTAACAATGGTACAAAGCAAATCATATAGTCAAAGCATTTATTTGGCTATAAGTGGGCAATTTGGTAGATTAAACCTTGTCAATTTTTTCAAAATATGTATACATAAACATAGATTTAATTTGGGTCTTAACTAACAAAAGTACAATTTAGAATTAGACACTAGACAGTTACAGGGTCAAACAGACTGTTGAAACCCAAATTTTCCATATATTAACTTTGGCCCTAGAAGAAGTGTTCGAAAGTTATGGATATGGCAAACTTTTACAAAGAACTGGAGTTGATTTCTCTATGCTTTCTACCATTTAACATATAATTGTATTTGTATCAGTGACCCAGTGATAAATTGCACTGCTACATGATGGATGCTTTGTTTAAAGGAATGTATTACTGGAAACTATAAAATTATCTAATTATTTAAATTACTTTAAATTATATTACCAAATGCTTTATTCAGCAAGCAAATTTCAATGAAAACATTATGCTTAAGTTTTGTTTTGTTTTACCATTCAGTTATCATTGCTAACAGTGGGGAAACTTGTTTCTCAACAAAAAGACTAAAATGGAAAATGTCAATTATTCAAATGCAGGATAGTCAGTGAAATAGTCCACTGTCTGTTGTAGTGGGGTAATACTGCATTGGGCATTGAGAAATGGCAATGAACAAGTAATTTGGGGTGAAGAAGGCATATTATTGAGTTTCTTCCCATTTTCATCCCATGAGTGAATCTGGCATAACAATGCAGAGTGTCACCTATTAAGTGTGTAATAAATATTAGCTGAATAAATTGAAGGAGGTTTGGATGTGAAATGTGCTAACCTTCTGGTAGAATGCTGCACTTACTACCTATGTCCATGGCCAAAAGCATCATGAAGAAAATGGAGCTACTCTGCTAAAGTTGACCAGACCTCAGCAAGTACCCACGTGCCATGTCAAACACATGCCTAAACACAGTGCTTCTTAGCATGGATGAAACAAGAGAAACAGCTCCCTGTTCTTGCTCACTGATTACTAATAGGTGTTAAAAACATTTTCCTACAGTGACCATAAGGAGAAAACAAAGGTACTTTTGAAAACTTTAGAATGAAAAGGAAACCGATCTGGTTCCCCATGAGAGAAAAGCATTTAAACTACTTGTAAGTCAAGACTAATTATTTTAAAGGAGTTTCTTAATTATGGAGAGGGACACTTACATATCTAGAAGTTGACTACTTTGTACTTATTGTCAATGCCTTCTAAAAATACTTCATTACTTAAATGCTGCCAAAAAAGTAAATATGCCCAGTTTTAAGACTGAGCAGAGCCTATAACATAATTTTCTTAAATATGTGTATTTCTCTGTGCCATTTTACATGCCAACACATTTATATAAGTCTTTTAAAATGTGCTCTGAAAATCTAGTCCAAAATATTTGGCAGTAAAAATAACATTGCCCCAATGAAATATCAACCTATCATCTACTTTCTTTAAAAGTACATCTGCTACCAGTAATCTTCTAATACACTGAATTTCAACAAGTCTAATTCAACAAAAAATACATATTAGTTAAATTATATTTTAGGATTTAATAAAGTATAACACAGTGACAATTAAAACTGAAAAGCAATTATGTTCTGAGGTTAAAAAACAAGAAATCAAGAAATTTAGAAATTATGAAAGTACAGAGGATTTAAAAGTTCTATTGAATAGAATGGCATAAGAATAATTATTGCTCAGCTATCCTTTTGACTTATGAAGCTTCAGCATGAGAGTAACATTAATTATTCTTTTTGAAGATACACACACAAAGTGGTGGCCTTCAAGTGAAATTGTTCACACAGACAATTTTGCTTAAAAAACGTTGCAAGTGTCTGAATAAATGAATTCATACCTACTTGTTACAACTTCTCAACATTTAATAAAATTATACTCCACACTGTATTGCAATTATACTCACGAGGAATACAATTTCTAAACTGCTTTCAAATTTAACATATCACAATTATCCCCATGTTTTTCTAAATGTCAAAAATTCCAAACTTGCTGTTTAAAATGTTCTTAAGAATAAAAATTATAATTTCAAGATAAATAAGAATCCAGTAAAAACAATTACACAATTCAAAAGAAATTGAAAAGATATGCCAATTTAATGCATAGTAATCACCTACAATATGGCTGCTGGGAGATATTAAACATAATATCTGAACATTGTTTACATTCTTGCTCCACATTGGGCTTTATCTCAGGCCTAGGAATAGAATGGGGTTCCAGAATTGTCAGAAGGATCTTCAGAGTCATCACATAGAATCAAGAAAGTAATAAAAACTAATGTGTGATGGTTAATATTGCTTGTCAACTTGATGGGACTAAGAGTTTCCCCATAGCTGGTAACACATTATTTCTCGCTATGTCTGTGGGGCATCTCTGAAATGGTTAGCATTTGCTTCAGGAGACTAGTAAATTTGGGTGGGCATCAACCAAACTGTTGAGTGACAAAATAGGACAAAAGAGCAGAGAAAGTGTAAATTTGCTTAAGCTACCTGGCTGCCGGCCGCCATCTTGGTTGGCAGTTAATTTGCATATCGCCCTGATTAGCCAATGGGAAGGGTAGCAGAGGTATGGCTAATTACCACGTTTCTCTATTATTAGATAAGATTATTATATAATTTTCTATACTAACAACTATAAACCTACTTTTGTCCAATCCTGCATATACAATGGGATGTTATTTAGTCATGTGGAGAGGTGGGGAGAATATGGCATTTGTGACAACATGGATGAATCTTAAAAGCATTATAAGTGAAATAAGTCAGATAGAGAAAGACAAATACTGCATGATATCACTTATATATGGAATTTTAAAAAGCCAAACTCACAGAAACAGAGAGTAGAATAGTAGCCACTAGGTGAAGGACTTTGAGGGAAATGTGGAGATATTGGTCAAAAGATACAAACATTCAATTAAAAGACAACTAATCGCTTCTCGGCCTTTTGGCTAAGATCAAGTGTAGTATCTGTTCTTATCAGTTTAAAAGACAACTAAATTCTGGGGATTTTATGTACATCATGGTGATTATAGTTAAGAATACTGGCCCATCTGATGTGGCTCAGTGGTTGAGCATAGGTGCATGAACCAGGAGGTCAAGGTTCAATTTGTGGTCAGGGCACTTGCCAGGGTTTCAGGCTCAATACCCAATGGGTTCAGAAGGCAGCTGATCAGTGATTTTCTCTCTCATCATTGATGGTTCTCCCTTTCCCTTCCTCTCTCTGAAATCAATAAAAAAGATATATTTTTAAAAGAATATGGTATTATATAGTTGAAAGTAGCTAGGAGAGATCTTAAATGTTCTCAGCATACAAAAAAAAAGGCAACCATGTGAAGTGATGAAGGTATTAACTAACCCTTCTGTGGATATCATTTCACAGTATGTTTTTCAAATCAACATGCTGTACACCTTACATTTATACAAAATAATTAAATCTCAATACAGCTGGAGATATATATATATCCTATCTAATAAAAGGGTAATATGCAAATTAACCATCATTCCGTCACAAAGATGGCGGAACCCATAGCCAGAAGATTGCGGCACCCAGTCCTCCCAGACCTGCCAAAGTTCCCCAGTCCCAGGGGGGTGGCTATTGAGAGCAGGCAGCGTGAGCGGCCTGACGGAATGCTTGCTTCATCGCTGTTGTGAGGAGGCAAGCATTCCACCCCAGTCGCAGCAGGCCTTTGGGCAGCAGGTATGAAGCAGCCGCGGTGGGGGGTGAGGGAGACGCTTGTGTTGTCGCCCTGGTGACAAGGCAAGTGTTCCGTGCCCGGCCGCGGAGGGCCTCTGGCCAGGCAGGGCATGAAATATTTGTGTTGTTGCAGGCTGAGCTGACGGACCCCCCCTCCCATGCATTAATTTCATGCACCAGACCTTAGTGTGTATATATATATATATATTCTTGCAGGAAGATTCCTGCAAGAATAGGGCTTCCTGAGACCAGATCGAAGCAGAGAAGGGAGCGAAGCCCGCCAAGGCTGGCTTCGCTCCCTTCTCCACTGCCTCACTCCCTCCCTTCACCACTTCACACTCGGCTCCCTCCCTTCTCTGCCACCTGGGCTCTCTCCCTTCTCCGCCACTTTGCTCCCTTGCCAAGTCACAGATCCAAGGCCCGGATCCCCCAGGCAGCATCAGGCGCTACCGGCCCCGCCTCGCCGGGTCAGAGATCCAGGGCCCGGGTCCAGCAGGCAGCGTCGTGTGCTGCCGGCCCCGCCTGCAGTATATAAATTAGCTGCCATCTTTGTTGGCAGTTAATTTGCATATCACACTGATTAGCCTATGGGAAACGTAGGGAAGGTACAGTCAATTACCATGTTTGTCTACTATTAGATAGGATACATACACACACACACACACACACACACACACACACACACATACATACACACACATATATCAGGAGCAGAGGAGGCAGAACTAAACAGTAGTCAGATGGAGAGGAATCCTCAAAATCAGATTAAGAATATAGCCCCAACTTTATAGGACAGTGGAAGGTGACATTATAACCTACCATAATAAAATATTTATAACATTAATTTTTAAAAGCATTAGCCAGTAGATTATTCAATCAGATTAGAGTGAAAGATAACAGAGTCTGGGAATTATTCAGGAAGACATTGCGATAAGCTATTTAGGGTGATATGACCATGATAATTGCTAACATTTATCAAGCTCTTCCCATGGTGCTGGTGCTTGAAAAGTATTATTTTGTTTTCAACTCTGAACAATAACAGCTTGGCAGTATTTTCATCCCCATTTCAATATACCAGGAAACTGCAGCATAGCCAAAAATGGTAAGAATGGGAGGTTTGAACAAGAAAGTCATACAGGTGAGAGGTAAGAGGCAAAGATGCTCCTTGTGCATCACACAGAAAAAACAAAGAGGGGACTTAATTCAGGAAATGCATGAGAAATTACCAGAAAAATCACACAAAGTATCAATGATCTTAAAGTTCAGTGAAATGGAGTCTAATTCCTGAATATGAAATGTTAACGGAAACTTATTGTGTCTGACAAGGGATATTTTTAAGAGCACAAAACATCACATACTATTACTATTTTTAGAATTTTAAGGATATTTTTAAACACACTGATATTATACCAGAAAAATTGATATGAAGATTGTCTTTGTGTGAAAATCTACTGCATTAAGGTGTAAAATCATGGCATTAATTTTAAAATGTGACATTAATTGTCAACTGTAGTCATCTACTTTTCTTACAGTATATAAATATATTTTTTTCTTTATTGCAAATCAAATTTAAAATTTGTTCTTATTGTGAAACCAAGAAAATCAGTAGTCATGCAGATTTTAACAGAAGAGACATACTGGAAATTTAATGAAGGATAAATATAAGTTCTAAATAAAAAGCTATGTTCATATTCGTTCTCTCTCTCTCATACAAGCACACGCACGCACACACACACACACACACACAATTAATTAGAAAGAATAAAGAGCTTTCAGCAGCCTATATAACAGTATTTTTGTTTTGTTTTATCCATAAGCAAAGTAATGCTATGACAATTCTTTTCTAATTCAGCAGCATACATTTTCTATAGAAGAGAGAAACCTTGTAAAAATAATATCTTGGGTTACACCTTCAACACTGAAAAACATACACAACACTGAACCCTTTACCCACAAGATTTAAAACAGTTCATATATCCAATGAGTGTTGGATTGTGTCTATATAATCCACCTGTGATTAGAATGATAAGCCTAAGCATAAGGAGGCTGACCAAGTCTGTATTTCCACATTGTTAGGTTTCTAACCTCAGTTTTCTCTGGCCTGTTTATAGCAGCTAGAAGTTAGCATTCATCCCACTAGAAACTATCTGTTAGAAATAAGGTTGTAAGTTGAATATGCTGCTTAAAAATGAAATGCTTAGTCTTTACTTTATTCCCAGTGAAAATATTCAATAGCAATAAATTCAAACAAATAAATTTTCATTAAGAAGTTGACTAGAAGAATCCATAGGCAGCAAAATAGCAGACATATGTCGTAGTGATATCTGTACAGATACAGCTCCTAAGGCAATAGAAACTAAGGAGAAAATAAACAATTGGGACTACATCAAAATAAATAGCTTTTGCACAGCAAAAGAAACCACCAACAAAACAAGAGAGCCCACTGCATGCATGGGAGAACATATTTACCAGTGTTATATCCCATAAAGGTTTATTTAGACTCCAAATTTCATAGGGAACTCATACAAGTTAACAAAAGGAAGATAAACAATCCAATCAAAAACTGGGCAAAGGACCTAAATAGACACTTTTCAAAAGAGGACATAAGAAAGGCCAAGAGATATATGAAAACATGCTCAAAGTCACTAATCATCATGGAGATATACATCAAAATGACAATGAGGTACCATCTCACACCTGTCAGAATGGCTATAATCAACAAATCAAAAAATGACAAATGCTGGCGAGGATGTGGAGAAAAAGGAACCCTCTTGCACTGCTGGTGGGAATGCAGACTGGTGCAGCCACTGTGGAGAACAGTATAGAGTTTCCTCAAAAATTAAAAATGGAACTCCCATTTGACCCAGTGATCTCACTTCCAGGGCCCAATAAATCAGAAACACCAGTCAGAAAGGATATATGCACCCCTATGTTCATAGCAGCACAATTTACTATAGCTAAGATTTGGAAACAGACTAAGAGCCATCAGCAGATGAGTGGATTAAAAAACTGTGGTACATCTACATAATTGAATAATACGTTGCTATAAAAAAGAAGGAACTCATACCATTTGCAACAGCATGGATGGACCTGGAGAGCATTATGCTAAGCAAAATAAGCCAGTTGGAGAAAGATAAATATCACATGACCTCACATATCTGTGGAATATAATGAACAACATAAATTGATAAACAAAAGTAGATATAGAGACAGAGAAGCATCAAACCGACCACCCAAACTCAGAGGAAAGGCTGGGGGTGGGGTGGTAAGAGATCAATCAAAGGACTTGTATGCATGCACAAAAGCATAACCCATGGACACAAACAGTAGGGGGGTGAGGGCATGTGCTGGGGGAATGGCTGAGGAAAAGAAGTCTATAAGGGAAAAAAGGAGAAATATGTAATACTTTAAACAATAAAAATATAAATTAAAAAACACAGAATTTTAGTAACACTAAATACTAAATGCAAATCCTAGCTTTAGAGACAGTGAATCTCACCCTGCCAAGCATGGCTCAGTTGTTAGAGTATTGGCCTCAGCCCTGAAGGGTTGTAGGATTGATTCTCAGTCAAGGGCACATACCTGGCTTACAGGTTGTATCCTGGTCAGGTAGGGGTGCATGAGGGAGGCAATCAATCAATATGTCTATCTCACTTAAATGTTTCCCTCTCTCTCTCTCTCTCCCTCTCTCTCCCTCCCTCCCTCCCTCCCTCACTCCCTCCTTCCATCCCTCTCCCTCCACCCCTCTCTCTCTTCCACTATCTCTAAAAGTCAATGGAAAAAAAATAGCTCCAGGTGAGAATTAACAAAAAGTAAATAATAAACAAATGCATACATACATACATACATAGATACTAAATAAATAAATAAATAAATAAATAAATAAATAAATAAATAAATAAATAACAGTGGATCTCTATTCACTAATTTTGGTAAATGAGGAACGTATTAGCCAAGCAAATATCTCAGGCTATAAAATGCAGATATTTGCCAAATACTCAAAATGTGGAACAAAAAAGAATGGACAGCTAGTTGTGTGGTTTTTAAATAAACACTAATGACATTCTCCAAAGCAAAAAAAAATCAGAATGACAAAAATCTAGCCAAAATGAAACTATAAATCATAGTGGGGAAAACAGTACACATTGGATAATTCTGGACACTGAATATGTTTTGACTGAAAGTGAAATCTGTTGGGCTAGACAGAAACGAACTCTCCTCTCCCCACCTTTGAGTGGAAGCCTCTAAAAATTCTAAACGTTTTTAAAATTTATTGATTGGAGAGACAGGGGAAGAGAGAGGAGAGAGAGAGAGTGAAACATGGAAGAAAAATGGATTTGCTGTTCCATTTATTTATGCATTCATTTGGTTGTTTCTTGTATGTGCCTTGATTAGCGGAGTTACTCTAATCAACTG